GAGTTGCAAAGGTTATAAAATATTGCACAACACGTTACGATTAAAAAAAAAAAAAAGGAAAACCCATAATAAATGTTGTACGAACTGTGTACATAAATAATGTATTCTAGAATATTAATAGTGATTGTAAATTTTTTGATTTTTTAGCACGTGAAATTGATTTAAAACCCAGTCAAATAAAGCCATTAGCCATGGTCTAAAGCAGCTGGAGTTCTCGAAATTGTAGTATACGAAAGGCCACATGATGGTACGTCGGTATACCTACGCCAATTATTTTATAGAAGATAATTTGACAAATTATTACGAAATATTTATTGCCTCCAATTTTACAATGTAGGTATAACATATTATTTTATGTGTTTTATGTGGTTATATACCTTTTTATTACATTACATCATAACAGAGGTGCATTGGTACTTGGTAAATCGTTATTTAATCATCACAACTATTCACATAATATGAGAACAAATGTGGTTAAAAATAAAGTTATAAGATCGTTTCGTTTATAGTATTTGACTGTTCATAAATTTGGAAGTTCATTCTAAGAAGTGGTAATTTTTTAAGCAATATTTATTAATATTATAATATAATAATATTGAATGATGTATTCATGTATTATAAATTATAATAAAATGTTTAGGGTACACAATAATATAAGTTCTATAAATTATAAAATTATATGCAGAATATGGGTTATAGGATCGGTTCAATATATTTTGAGAATGTCCTACCTTAGACCTTAGTTCATAATGAAAAATATTCACTTAACGTGACAATAAAATTAATTGATTATTATTTATAAGTTTACTGCATATCATGGAGACAAAATTAACTAATTAAGTTAGAATTTACTACTAAAAATAAAATAATTCGGTATGTGACTTAATAAAAAATAACTTAACCTTAACTTTTTAACTTTTTAATGCCCAGCCTTGCCTATAGGTACGTAGCATTAATTATTTGATTTTCATACTTATGTATTTATTAAAAAAGTCTATTAAAAAATAAAATTTGAAGTATAAAATCTTAAATATCTCAAAAATATTAACATAATTTATACACTTTGTGCGTGTTCGTTTGCACACACTATCATTAACTATTAGGTAATTGTGGATCTAAGTATGAAGATGAGAAATTAAAGTACGAGTATAATAGTAAATTTATAAATAATAATATTAATTAAAACACAGATAAAAATAAATTAAAATATTATGTTACGGAAGTGATTAAACATAATGTAATATGGCAAATACAACGGGAGTTCAAAAGTTAATATTTTAATTTAAAAATTTAAATTTTAAGTTTAATAATGATTTCATAAATACAAATCAAATGGCTATAAATTATTATTATAACACTACTATGAAAATATAATTATTATAAATTATATTTTAAGATTAATTGCAACAACATTCTAATTTATAGTTTTAAAAATTAACTTAATAAGATGTATATCGTGTGACATTTTACGATAAGTAATATTTAAAATTAAAATACCAATTTGTAGATTACTATAAATTGACAATTCATTGCAGTGATTTAATAAAACTCCTTTGTTTTTCCAAGTACACATAATAATACATAAACATAAATAATTGATATAAGAACTATACTAGTACTTGAAGGTGATATCTCTATTATATTGTACATTTCACAAAATATATGACAAAAGATTAATTTTGTATACTAGGTACTCAGATTAATAATAAGATTATTTAAATTTGTCAAAAAGTTTTAAAAAATTTAATTTATTGAAAAATGTGTTGAATAACTTGATTTTCTTCAATTAACAGTCTTTATATTATTTCTATAAGTAAGAAATTCTTTTGATTAAGATTATCTGAAGTTGCACGTAGAATTTTTTTGTTGTAGAAAAAATTAAAATGTAAGTATAGGTTTGTTAATATTATATTTTTAATATTTTTGTCAATTTCTAATCTTAAAAATTTTATGTATAAATTGTTAACACATTATTGATAGGTTTGCTGATTTTTATAAAAGCAATAGGTACTTTAACGTATTACTGATACACACAATATGTTCGTTTAGCTGAATAAGGTATTCAATATTGTTGACCAATTATGTATAATGATTAAAACATAATATTTTCTAAGTATTTTCGTGTGCAAAATACACAAAAGTATATAATACAAAATACTCACGGCATGTTTTATTTCCGGGAATGTTTTCACATTGTTTGTGTTCCGACTTGGACGTTCATTGTTTAATTAGAGTAAGGTATTTACACTCTTCCTATTATTTTCAAATAGAATACCAACGAGAACATGTGAGATTTCATTCGATTTAAAAGCGATTCGTCGGTAAAAATACATAAACATAAATGAGTCATGAAAAAAAATACAGAGACATTACGATTTATGAATCGTTGATCATATGCTAACAAATGTGGTGTTAAACAATTGTTTATATCATGACGTAATAGAAATCTAGTTTTTAAATAATAATAGATAAAAATGAATAAATAATGATTTTAAAATACATTACCTACCCATATTGAAAATCATTTGATAATATTATTTTAATTCGATTAAACAAAATTATTATAATTTATATTGTTTGTTCAGATAAAATATAATAAATCAGTTAGCATATTAATGTAGGTACATTTACGAAATAAACTTGAACTGACTAAGTAAAGTATGTAACCTATAACTCCGTTTTTAATATAGTTTATTCTTACAAAAACATTAGTAGGTAGTTGTGTATCACTGTATCAGGTTTATCAATTAATATTTATATCAAATCGTACCTACTGAATTCAATAAAAAGTTAATACAAGATGCAATTTGATCTGACGACTTAAATTTATGTTTAAATTACTTAATACTTATAAACGTATAATTCTAAAAATGATACGGATACCCAATGAGTTTCTTGGGTTCTTTGTGTTTTATTTTATGTATCTTTTATTTTAAATAAGTTAGTAGGCAAATAAAATGTATTTTACAAAGCCTACGTCCTATACGTCCTATTATGTGACCAAACACAATAGCATAGGTTGACATAAAAAAAAATAATTTACTTACTTCGAAGGTAATTGTCCAAAAAAATAAATTAATGAAATGCTTTTATCAAAATCACATTGACCTCAAATGAGTAAGATAATAACAAATAATCTTTCAATTTTAAATTGAATATTCCCACAAACGAAAAACAATTATATGTGTCCTCTACAGTCTACAATGTTCATAGATTCGACTTAATCCTTGAATGACATCCAATTTGAGCAGTTAAAGTCTAGCAAAATAAGTATGAAATATACGCCGAGGTCTATAATTTATTTTATTTTCGATCACTTTCATTGTTATCAGATTTTCTTTATTTTATTCGACAGTGTTAAATTCACTTGACATTTTTTGTATATTATTTAACGATTTGGTTAATTTTATATTCTGAGAAGGGTAATGGATGAATTGATTTTATAATGATGTATGAGTGATTTTTTTATTTCAGCTTTAGGAGCAGAAAAAATGAATTAATTTTAAACTTTATTTAAGGGTGATTTCTGGTTTTTTTTATGTATGTATGACACATTTTTTTATGAGTAAAGATTTTGGAAATTAAGCACACATTTTTCCATAAGTTGATTATACTCCAACTAAAAATAAATTGTCACCATTTTTTATAAGCATTTATATGGTATATATAGTCATATAATTTTAACGAAATTCATAAAAAAATACTAAAATTGCAAAAAATCATAACATTTTTAATTTTATCTCCTTTTTTATTTTTGTAACTTTGAAAATGTTATTATTTAAAAAGGTTTAATCGTAGAAACTTGAGCAGTTTCATTATTATTACTAATATTATCGTTTTTTATATACATCATTTAAATTGTTGAATGAATTATCATTGAATTCAAATTTAACACATCCAATTCAATGACGAAGTACATTCGACACCTACTAAAGAGAATATAGTGAGTTCTCCGATTTTAATTTGTTAATCTAAGTTGACGGGTTTAAGATAAATGTTCAATCTTTCCACATAAATTGTAAGTTTTCTTGTTTTACAGTAAGAAAGTATTAAAAGTACAAGTATAAATGAAAGGTTTAAAATTCTTTAATGTTTATTTTGAACATGTACAATCCAATAAATTATGTGCACTTTAATAGTGTTTTCAGTTGTAAGCGGAAATAATTTCGCTTTTGCTTTTAGAAATATTTCATTGTACTTTTACATTTATTTATATAAAAATATATAATACTTTGGAGTATTTCTTAATAACCATAGTTTTTTTAAATTTCACGCGGAATAGTAACATTAAAATTTAAACTATTGAAGCACATATTTGTATGTTTTATTTTTACCTATATATTGGCATGTTGCTATCAAAATATTATCGGAATGGTCGTTTATCTATCACTCATCAGTAACAAAAACTGTTAACCCAGAATCATTAATTAGGTATTAATTCCCATACAATATACCTTAGGTAGTATAAAACATGTGTATTGAGTACTATAAGGTACTATTTAAGCTATATTATATCCGCCATTCAAGTGTAATCAATTAAAAATTATTTTATAAGTGGGCTCAAAAAATGAAAAAGTCAACGTCGTATTCTAAATTTGAACTTATGTTCTATATATTATTAAGCATTTACTTAAATAGTAGAGTAAAATATTAATTTTGATAACGTTGACGATTCAACTATAGGACGGCCGTCGACGGCATAATACTATTATTTATGCGTATATCTGCCGAAATCTATTACCTATAATAGTAAAAAATGAATGCAAATTTTTAACAATATTTAAGGTGTTTAATTGGAGAAAATGTTGTCCATAACCTCTATCCACCCACCTCATATTATTACATTATATTGCACCGGCGGTACCTATTCCTACCTTTACCGAGGCGCCTTGTTATGGAACGACACTGCAGCTGATCCACGACAATTACCAGGCACCGGGAGCCCCACCAGACATTCGACTTTGATGGTTGGCGACTTTCGGATATAAATACGCCGGACTCCAGTTGGGTTTACTCACATGTTCGCCGGTGATTTTGATAACCACAAGTACCCTATATAATATCGGTTGTACGTTTCGGTGTAGACTTTGTTGCCATACACGGGAGTATAGCAAATAATATCTGTCGAGACGTTCTTGCCATCCGACAATAATACAATTGTATTCAACATGGGCACTTTATCAATCGTAGTAAGTAAACAACACAATATACAACAAATATACAACATGTTTTTTTTATTATTAGAACGCTGAGTGATGTTAAAAAAACTACAAGAATATTGTTATTCTATGAAATGTTCTCTTGTAATTTTCTGTAATATTCTTTTCCTTCGAATACGTAAAATAAACATACTATTAAAAGTGCATAAAAAATACTATAAAAATATAATAATATAAATATTATTATATTATTAAAATTAATACCTAGCGATATTTACAATTTTCACCGCAATAAGTTCAATTATTTTTCAACATTTAAAGCAACTTATAATTTATTTAAAATATCATTATTTTTTAATTCCTTATTTATATAATTTTATGATATTTTTTAAAGCACAATTCAAATTTTTGAGCATTAAATCATATCATTAAGTGTACCGGATGAGATTGTTACTTGTAATTATTCCATATAATCAATGAAACAATCATTTTGGTTCTTTGTTTTGTTTTTTGTTTATTACTTAATTTTTTATAAACATCCTTTATTTTTATCAAAATAAGTTAAATTTCCTTTAAAAGTAAAATCAGCATTTAAAAAGAATAGGATGCAAACAATATTAATTGTCAATAAAATATATATTTTAATTAAATACTTATCTTGTAAAAACATATGAATAATAATCACGTTTGTTATCAATTATTAAGCACACCGTTTTAAATACCTACTAATCTATTTCAAAATTATCCATTAATTAATAACATTTTTAATTTCTCTATATTTTGGAAACTCTAATACTGGGTTGCATGAAAAGTCACTAAACATTTAACGAATCAATAGTGAGGTAATGATCCCTTAAACATGGTCTAGCAGCCCATGATTGGTCCATTAAATTTTATTGGGCCGTTAAATAAATAATTTTTTTCATGCAAACCGACATTAGAATGATAAAATATTTTACTTTATACAGTGTAAGAAAATACTATGAATTAAAATACAATATATTTTCAAAGTGAATTAATATGTGGTAATGGGTACGATTTAATGACTATTAACCTAAACTATGCCTTGAATCAACCAATACATACAGCTGACAAGCGTGGGTGTTCAATGTTGTACTTTGTACAAGTTGCTCATTAAATAAATAATTTATGATTTAAGAGTTAAAATTATAGTGTCCTCTGAGTTCTATGTTAAACCTGATAATAATTGTATTATTTATAGTAATTATATTAATATAGATAATTTGAATAGTAATAATTTAATGATCATTCTACATCGTATTTTCAATATTTGCTAGTTATTCATAGCATAAAAATATTTAAAAATGTATAAAATATATATGAATGAAATATAAAATTGAGTCAAGTATTTAGACTATAGAGCTATATTTTAAAATCTGTTTGAAAACGTTACGACAAAACTAATGATCCGATTTCGACCTACTTTGGATTATATTTACAAAAATCTTATTATCTAGTCAACCATTGACAGAGATTTCTTAATCTTGACAATTTCAAAATAAGTTAAATATTTACGATCCACGTTAATAGTAGTTTTCTTTAAAAAAAAACTTTAAATAATAATGTTATAAATTCATTTATTGCTTCTACAGTTTTACATGCATGTGAGGAATAAATTAAATTAGTTAGTGCGTGGTTAACATGAGTTATACAAACATAATATTTTTTTTATTTTTGTATAATATATTGTATATAAGCCATAAATCTTACTTTAAAATTTCATTAGTATACTTTAACGACGTACTTTACTCCTTTTTAAAAGTTAGATTGTACTGTTTGACATAATACATTTAATGATCCCAAGCAAGAAATTGTTTCTCATGTAAATATCCACTGTGTGATATTAAATAAATGGAAATAACAATAGTTATTTTGTAGTAGTATTTTAAAGAACTAAAATCATTCATAAATATTTGAATTAAAAAAATATGTGTTCATTCTTAGTATTTCTTACTAATTGCTAAAAATACTTAAATATGACATATTAATTGTTTATGATGTACATTATTTTGTTTTATTTTGTAATGAATCGAATATATAATAAGTAAATATTATACATTTAACTCGCGGCATGCGTTATATTATTTAAATTGTAATTTATAACGAGACTTTTGCTCTGAAAAAATTCTGAATGTTTAAACAAAAATATAATTAACTTGTTTTGGGTTCGTCTCGCTTCGCTCAAATTTTAGGATAGTGACGATAACTCGTCACGCTTCAATGTTTACGGCAAGGATTTAGTCTCGCGGGAATTGGTTTTTGATATATATCACTTGGCTGGATGTGTTGAGCGTGTGTCGTAGTTTTCAATCCAAAAATAATTAACAATTGTCACATTCTATAAACGATTCAGAGCGAAACACAGTGTGTTATGATTTTTGACAGTAACATTAGTAGGCAATTTAATCATTTTCGAAAAAAATGTATCGTTGTAATAAACCAATATTTTCTGTTTTACGTGAAACATTTGTGGCTGACTTAAAATTATCTAAAAAAGGATGTTCTCGTTATCATTATATTATTCAGTTATTATGTCAATATAAATTTACATTATCTGTCCACTCAAAATACAACTTGGGTATCTAACCTTTTGAATGACTGATTTTACTTTTACAACGTGCAATAAAATTTTAAAATGTCTCCGCGTACCTGACAAAAAAATAGAAAATAGTATTATGTATTATGTATAATGATACATTCAATGATCGCATCTGGCAAATCATTACCAACATTCCAAGCATACATATAATATAATTAGCTTCGATCACGATAATATTATGTTACTTCCTGACACGCGCAATAATTATCTATCCACCCCCGCCAGGGAAAGTGATGATACATCACGAGCATAGATTCGAGCTACCCGCGTATGATGTCCTCTCGTACTTTTATTATTAGTATTGTATAAAACAATCGGCCCACGGGCTATTCCAAATTATTAATAATAAAATGGCACGTAAAATTATTATCATCAGAATATTATTATCACTTTCACTCAAAGCAGCGACCTGCCCGAATGCTGGAAACCTTTCACCGGTCGCACGCGATGACCCGGCCGAAGTGACCGACGGGCGTTAAAATGCGCTCTTCCTAAAAACTAGTTCTTCTTCTTGTGCTGATAAAGTAAAAAAAATACGTTCTCACGCCTACGACACACGCGTCTTCGTGTAATTATGTAACCGTCTTCTCGTGTTCGGAACACTGACTCATATCTACATGAACATAGTCTAGTCTAATGTAACTTTACGATTTTTACACTTATTTTTCAGGTTTTCTGCTTCCTTGCAATCGCCTGCACATTCGACCCCACATGTGCAACATTCGGAAAAAAGGAACAGTGAGTATAATATTTACCCTCAATATATGTATTGCATTATTTTATATAAACATTAAATTAAAATTGTTATGCCTGATTACATAGACAAATTAAATTAAATTTTATCACTAAATTTTTTATGAATTAATAGTGAGCTGAAATGATCCCTTAAACATGATTCAGTGGCTCATGATTTGTCCATTACATTTTAGTGAACCATAAAATGATTTAATTTTTCATAAAATCGGGCATTAATAATTCATTATAATATTCTAAATCTTTATTTCATTATTAAGATGAAATTTATATTTTTATGCAACTTCAAAGTCCAAAATTAAACATAATGTTCAAACTAAATTTACAGTGTACATATTCGTGTTCATGTGCCAACCATCGTAAAGGAAGTTTACGTAAAAAAACCAGTTCACCATCACGAACACCATGATGATCATTATTCTGGTCACGATGATCATGGTAGTTCATCTGGTGGTTACGGAGGATCCTCCAGTAGTTATGGTAGTGGTGGAGATGATTCGTATAGTGGTAAGATCATAAAAAAAATTAACCTAGACTTACAAAATAATCTTTCACATCATATGTACTGACGCAATAAATTGATATAATTATTTTAGGCCATGGGGCTTCTGGTATTTATGATTCTGGATCAAGTGGACATGGCGGTAGTAGCTATGACGATAGTTCATCAAGCAGTTATAGTAGCGGACCGTCTTCGTCCGATGACTATAGTTCCAGTGATCATGGATCAGGTGGATACGGTGGATCATCCGGTGGTTACAGCGGTTCATCAGGATTCGGCGGATCTTCCGGTGGTTATGGTGGTTCATCAGGAGGATATGGTGGATCTTCCGGTGGTCATGGTGGTTTAGCAGGAGGATTCGGTGGATCTTCCGGTAGTTATGGTGGTTCATCAGGAGGATATGGTGGTTCATCAGGAGGATTTGGTGGATCTTCCGGTGGATATGGCGGTTCATCAGGAGGATATGGCGGATCTTCCGGTAGTCATGGTGATTTCGGAGGATCTTCCGGTGGATATGGTGGTTCATCTGGAGGATTCGGTGGATCTTCCGGCGGATATGGTGGTTCATCAGGAGGATATGGTGGATCATCCGGTGGTCATGGTGGCTTATCAGGAGGATTTGGCGGATCTTCCGGTGGATATGGTGGTTCATCAGGAGGATATGGTGGATCTTCCGGCGGCCACGGTGGTTCGTTAGGAGGCTACAGTGGTGGTTCCTTAGGAAGCTATGGAAGTTCTTCAGGAAAATATGGTGGTTCATCAAGTGGAATTTTATTTAGTGGATATTCTGCTAGTAATCATAAAGGATCATCTGGTGGATATGGAGGAAGTTCATCTGGTGGATATGGAGGCAGCTCATTTGGAGGACACGGAGGAAGTTCGTCAGGAGGATACGGAGGAAGTTCGTCAGGAGGATACGGAGGAAGTTCGTCAGGAGGACACGGAGGAAGCTCATCTGGAGGATATGGTGGAAGTTCAGGAGGTGGATACGGGGGTAGTTCATTTGGTGGACATGGTGGAAGTTCTTCTGGAGGATATGGAGGAAGTTCAGGAGGTGGATATGGTGGAAGTTCATTAGGAGGACACGGAGGTAGCTCATCTGGAGGATATGGTGGAAGTTCATTNGGAAGTTCTTCTGGAGGATATGGAGGAAGTTCGGGAGGTTTTGGAGGCTACTCAGGTGGTAATGACCATGGTTCCAGCTCTGGTGGAGACAGTTACTCAGCCCCAGGACAGGATAGCTTTGGACCAGCAGGGGAAAGTTTTCCTTATACTAAAAAATGAGCCACTGTAAAATTTCAAAAAAAATACGTTATTTTTTAACATTTAATTTTAATTTTGTTTTATTGTTACATACGTTATTGCTATTGATTTGTATCTAACATGGAAACAATTGTGAAATGTTTCCATTTTCTAAGACTGACTTATCTGTTTTTATTAATAAATATAAAAATAAACACATTTTATTAGAATGCGTTGTATTGTTATTTGTCATATTTCTATTATAAATGTATAATTTGTTTGAAAATCAGGAACAATTAAACAATTCTATTAATTAGTGCCCTAAACACTGAGGTCCATCCAGAATAAAAATGATGGTAATTAAAATAAAACCTATATCAAATACAGACAACTACATTTACTATAGGTTTCATTAAAATGTTAGCAACCATGTGTGTTATAAACTGGTACATAGTAAATAAATTTATAATAGTACTATGTTGTTAGAATATATAGTAACATGCTTTTATATATACTGAATTCCATTAAGTATTCAAATATAAAGTTAATTAAATACCTAGACTTTTGTTATCAAGTCAAAGCATTTGAGTTTTTTTTTTTAAATATGTAATACTTAATAAAACTTCAACTACAAAGGTTCTACATGATATAGTTTAAATTATGTAAATACCAGTAAAAATACTGGTTAGAGTGTTTGGCACATATTGTATAATAATTAATATTAAAATGTAAGTACACAATTATATTTTCTATAATTTTAAATTTATTTCCCAAAGAAATTATATTAGCTTTCCATTTCTTTTTAGCTTTCGTTTTTCAAACATTATAAGCTACAGTATAACATTTGTCTTATACAAATATACAATATTATACAATTATTAAGCTTATTGTGCATTTCTTAATAAATATTTTTGTATAATGGTATGTAAATAAATGATACATTATTAATTTGAATGACTATTTTTTTTTTTTTTTAGCTCAAAATGGTGATCAAGGCGCTTTAGTACACATAACCTATTTATAGAATATAATAATTATTGATGTTTATATGTTTTTATTGTTATTTTATATTAGCATAATAATATACATATAAACCTAGCTTATTTATAGTAACACTACTTTCATTTGTCGATATACCATAATTATATTGTAGTAATTTAAATGGATTTTGTATTTGTCCTTCGATTATAGTGTGACGACTTATACTCTTGGTGATATTTACTAATTCACTATTTATTTTAAATAATTTCGATTTTCTTCGATACATTTTATCTTAGTACTAAAATTACCTTAACTATTCTAACTGATTTAGTCAAATACATTTAGATAAAATAATATATATTATTTCAAATATGTTTCACAGGTATGTCACTTCGCTTAAACTATAAATGTATTCATACTTCAGGAGTTAAGTACATACACAAACTATGTTACCACGAGCAGTATTATATATTATATTTAGACCAAAATTAAAATTGTCACAAGTAAACCTAATATTAAGTTCTGAGATGTAAAATTTGCTCATAACATTTTTTTAAATTTGAAATTTAACATAATTTTATCAAAGATCTCTTTTGTGAATTATGAACAGACATTTTTTAAATCTGCCGTTAAATAATGTTATAGGTACTATATATAAGTTGACACATTTTGATTAAAATATATTAATAGTCGATCAATCTTAATTAAACATAACCAATGTCCATAATATTAAGAAACTAAAATAACACATTGTTGACAATTATGACGAGAATTATGTAATATAAATGTATGAAAATTATGATTTAAGGTCTTTAAATTTTACTTGGATATAGTTCATAAGTCATTACAATTTTTAATACTCCAAAGACAAGAATTCTATAAGAATTTGAACAAAATTTGTACATAAATATTGTACTAAATGTATTATTTTGATCAATAACTTACAATTTTAAAACTCGCAAAGCTGTCAAAATCTTTTTAAAAATAATTTATTTTAGTAAAATATTTGTTGAGGTGGCAGTTTATTTTACTATAAATTAATAATTATTATTTGTTGGCTGTTTACTTTTCAGAAAACTATCTATCTATCTTCGTACAATATTAAAATCAACTCACTGATATTCATACATGTATAATTATCTCACGGCTGACAATCTACCTTCTACAGTCTAGGTCTAGGTACTAGACCAGTACTAGTCACTTGTCAGTCTAGTCATAGTTTATACTTTTATAGATAATGTTGGAAGAATAATTTATATCGATAAAGCAGTATCTAGCTGTGCTACCTATAGATTTGAGTGCTGTACATTTTTTTTATCTCTTAAAAATTTAAAATGTTAAGTGACCGCTTTTTTAAATTGTAATTGATCATAGTTTATGAAACGTGTCATCAATTTTTGGCAGCTCTCATTAAATTGTTGCCATCAAACAAACGGATTATGAACCGAATATGATATACAATTTTTTTATATATATAGGTAGGTACTTACTACTTATAGTTAACCATTAAAATACTATCATACATAATCTACCAACCTATTAATTGTTTCAATAACGATTTTTAATTTTCCTATTTTATACCTAAAGATTAAAGATAAGAAATAAGTATAAGGTATCATTCGTACCGAGTTTAAGCTTATTTTACCATGTTGTACCATTGTAACCAGTAGCTTTATCGTATTATGTTTACACAAATTCTCCACATCTAAGACTTTAGAAGCATATGTATCTTTATTATTAGTATATTATGTATGTTTTTTTTTTCATTAGTAGTAAGCCGCCGGCACATTGGTTGTGGGGTGGTTCGGTAGGGTGTTATTTTTGTATATTTTTTTAGTAGATTTTTGAGTTGGTAGGTTTTAACAAGTGGTATTGCAGGGTATGTGTGTCATGTTTTTTCTCGCTAAAAACCTGGGTGGTTACTAGTCACCCATCCGGGAGCTAACGACTCTGGGCGCAGCATATAGTAACTTCAGCATTTTTACGTGACTACGGTCACCATCGCATTTATATTATGTATGTATAGGTTGATTAGACTTAAGTATAAAGACGAGTATTTAGTATTCGCCGAGTCTACTAATATCCCATTATCCGGCTGGGGTAGTGACTACTTGGTCACTATATAACTCGATCAGTATTTTTGCCAAAAAAAATTGTATTTGAAAATAATTTTAACTTGTAATATCTATATAAAAAAAAAAACTATGTATTTAGATTTTTAGATTTTTTGGTTACAGTATAAAATATTTATGACGAATATTGTATTCAATTTCAAACTTTTCAACCCAACAAATCACATGTTATTAAAAAACTAGAAAAAGCTAAAAAAAATTTCCAATTTAAATATTTAAAAAATTGAATGATAAATGTTAATATAAACTATAAGAGAAAATTTCATGTATCTACTGTTATTATGTTTTCGACTTACACCAAAAAGAAAACAAATCCGATTTTGTGAAAGACTAGTCTTGAGAAAAAATTCTCGTTTTTTCTTAATTTGTTCTTAGTTTTTCCCAATTCTTTTGAACACTTTTGGGAGTTTCACAATTTTGTACTTTCAAAAGTACCACCTAGATTCACTTTTCCACCAGAAGAGAGAACCTCGCTTCACTCAAAATCTGAAAAAAATTTGTTTTGTTGCAATATGGTTTTTAGTAAAAGTTTCAGCTTTTCTTGATTATTTTGAAAGTACTGGGAATTTTGTATTATTGCCTATTGACCTTAAAGTACCTATTAGATCCAATTTACTATCAGAAACTATTTTCGAAGTTGAATATTTAAGTAGTTTTACAGCTCCCAATAGTATGAAAGACACAACATTTTTTTTTTTTTTTAGATACATATCATTGCAAAACTAATAATTAATTGCTACACTCAGAATATAAAAATAAGCACATTATTTAGTATATATGTTCTTATTTTATTACCTATAAGGTTATTCTTATTATTGTCATTAAGAATACGTTTATTGTAGAATTATCAACACTTGTTTGAATGATGAGATATTGTTCAATATTTTTTGATTAATAACCCTACTATTGTATGATTATCATGTTTGAACGTCTGATACAACAATAATTCATTTGAACCGTACAGTATTACTGTACTTATCGTTAAAAAGTACGATAATTTTTTGATGAATAGGTACTTGTTATTACGATAGATGTAAGTATTTATACGATAACACATTTTTTAGAGTATATTATAATAAATGTGATTAGAGGGATACCTACCGAAAGTCGTTTATCTCATTTTTGAGCCCCCGATAGCAGTAAAACAACCACACATTCACACCACAGCTAACAAGATATTATGTTGTTATATTACAGCCTTCTGCAACCACTGTAGGCATTAACACCTACGTTCGTCGCCTTCCACCACGATGAACGACTCTGATATTAACCCTCCTCACACTACACCCATCAATCCACAACCTAATACGCTCAAGGTTAGGTAATATATAAATATATATGTAATATAACTTTCCCTAAAAAAAAAATATCAAGCTAATATATTCAATACAATTCAGGAAGTTCCTCAAATCCAACTAATAACTCCAAACAATATAAAATTTGCATCACGCATCTCCAACAACAGATTCTATTCTATTCTTCAAACGAAAATATCGTCGAAGAAATTCAGAACAATATGATAAATAACACGGAATTATCGTACCACCTTCTTATCAACCCTGCAGCCAAGCGTAGAATTATATCTAATGTCCAGCCAACATTACCACATTATATAACTGCAAAAACAATTATTAACAATCTCTGTATTAAAATAATGCTACCAATCTCATTCTTAAAGGCTGTCTTCTCTAATTACGTTCCAACACCATCTAAAAAATAATACTCAAACTTGATGAGGCGATGGTATTAGCTAAAATCGCCTTTCAACAAATACCAAACTTGAAATTAAACTTTAACCAATTTAAATATATCATTGAAAATACACTGGGTATACACAATCCTATTTAACATATCAACTATGGAAATTATCGTAATTATAGATAAGATGCCTCGTCCGAAAATTAAAAACACAAACATCAAACTCAGACTCACAAGACTATTCAACGCACTGCATTTAACTATTCCTTACGAGTTATGGCACTTTTTTAACGCAATAATAATAATTACCTACAATATTACTGTAAATATTGTATTTGTTGTACTTGTAAATTAATATTAATGTTATTAAAGATAAAATGTGAACCTTTATAAAGTTGTTGCAACCCAATGGCCTTATA